AAACCCTAAACCCTAAACCCCTAAACCCTAAACCCCTAAACCCTAAACCCTAAACCCTAAACCGTCACAGAAAGCTCAAGAAGAAGTCTCTGAACTGAAGCACTCTGAAGTCTCATCCGTAAATGCACACGAAAGCACAACAGCTCCCAAGCAGAGGACCGTTAGGGTTTAGGGTTTAGGGTTTAGGGTTTAGGGTTTAGGGCTCCTGTGTATAGAAGTTATAGGACTTTGACTGGCCTACAGCTCTGAAACAAGTTGTCCTTATAGTAGACCATAGAGTAATCCTACTACCGAGGTTTCGAAAACTGATGGATTACATGCACTTGGAGTCCCAACAGCACCATACCAGAGTATGTCCCGAAACCCTGTTTCAATTCTTGGGCGCCCCCACCTATCGTAAACCTTATAAGCAGATTTGAATCCAAATGAACCATTAAGCCCTACACCCTAAACCTAAACCGTAAACCCCAAATAAACCCGCAAGCCCTTAGACCCCTAAGCCCTAAACCCTAAACCCCTAAACCCCTAAACCCTAAACCCTTAATTCCTAAGCCATAGACAAGCCTTCAAATGAAAAGAACCAGCCCAGGCCTTGAAGAAATCCTCCAGGTGCCGGGGTCTAGGATTTAGGGTTTAGGGGTGTTGGGGTCTATAAGGGTTCCTTCAAGGGTTCTTCTTTTGATTCAGGGGTTTAGGGGTTTAGGGGTTTAGGGCTTTTAGAATAGGGTTCAGGGTTTTGATGTGGTTCTGGGTGGCAGTGTTCAGGATTGGCAGTCGGGTTCTGGATTCAAGGTGTCGTGCTTATGTAATTTGGGGGTCGGGGCTGAGTTTTAGTACTTTGCGGTTTTGGGTGGCGCTTTTGGGTATAGGTTTTGGCACTCTAGCGGGCTCCCTAGACGTGACACCCTCAGCCCTAATAGGGGGAGGGCCTAAACTCAGGATTTAGGGTTTAGGATTAGGGGCAGCTTTTTAGGGCTTTGGATTTTATCGGCAATTGTTTGGTTTTTTGTCTGCATACGTGGTGCTGGACATTGAGGGCACGGGGGCCGGCAGTCGAACGGCGTGTGAATGCAGAGTTCAAGCCATACATACTTCACCCTAAACCCAAAATCAACTTACACCCCAACTGCATGCAACACAGGCACAGAAGCTTCAGAAGCTGGGCCGCGCAGCAAAGGCGCAGGTGGCTGACTCGTCATAGCATATGGCCATAATGCTCTGTTTGCTATGGATGTTGGTGTTGTCATCGACTGGCTGCTTCTATGGTGATTGTTACTCTCAAGCTGGCATTGTTAGTCTTACGTGTTCATTTTCGTACACGTATACTCTTTCTGCGAGCCGTGTCATTGCGCGTTTGCTGCGCCAACTGCTGCTGCTGCTACGACCACTGCTGCTGCTGCTGCTACTACTGCTTATTTTCGGGGTTCCTTATTGTAATTATAGTATAATATGCCCCAAAACCCAATGTTAATTATTAAGGCTCCTACATTACGACGTGTACCGCTACGGAACCCTAATTTAGAGAACTCCTCCACTACCCTCTTAGAAACCCTATAGAAACCCTGATAGATCCCTTTGAGGAACCCGAAGAACCCGAAAAAGGACCCCAATTTCGAGAACTACTCATTTCGAATTTGGTACTCAAACCCTATAAACCCTAAACCCAAACCCTAAACCGTGATGATATGATGTAGGGGCCTGAATAATTGCTGATATTGTTTTGTAGGTTCCTTTTTTAAAGTATGAAATTTTGAGCCCCAAAACCCTATTCAAATTATTAGGGCCCCTACATTAAGTACATGGAGCCTCAGGGGCACTTGCTGATACCTCCACTGCTAGCCCTGGTCCTAGGCCTGGGCCTGCTCCTGCTCCTCCACCTGCTACTGCCACGGTTTAGCGTCCAGGATCTAATGTAGGGGCCTAAATAATTACCTATATTATCTTGAGGGTTCCTTATCATAAATATGATATAATGTGCCCCAAAACCCTATTCTATTTATTAAGGCCCCGACGTTACTGCCATTGCTGCTGAACGGCTTGAACTATTAAGCTAACTCGTAGTTGTATGCGGTTTCGGCTTATTTGATGGTTTCTGTTCTTCAGCTCATCTAAAGCGTTTATGTCAAAGTGCCGTCGACACTCTTTCCCGGTTTGCCCCTCCCGAGCTTTTAGGACAGCATTGAGGCCTTCGGGGCTTGTTGATTTTGCATTTTTCGGGGGCGGGATGTAGGGTTTAGAGGTATTCTAAACCCTAAATCCCCCCTGAACTCTAAACCCTAAACCCCAAACCGTGGCTCTGAACCCCTTAACACCTAGACTCTAAACCATCCTATAAACCCGAAAGAAGGTTGAACTACTTGGAGGTTCATGGGGTTATAAGTAAGCTAAATGTACTTATAACCCATATTAGGGGACTTATAACTCCACTTATAACTACCCATGAACCTCCAAGTACTCAAGACCGTAAACCCTAAACCCTAAACCCTAAGGGCGGTCGCCTCTTCAGTATCTGGGTTACCGGGATGCCAGTCTGCGGCTCTTTGCAGGCTTAGACCTTGCCCTAAGGGTTTAGGGTTCAGGCTGTAACGTCGTAAGGTTCAGGGTTTAGGGTTTAGGGTTCAGCGTTTAGGGTTCGGCGTTTAGGGTTTTTGGGGTTTAGGTTCCTGTAGCTTCAAGGCTCCTCCAAGGCTTCCTATAATGGGTTCCGTTTACCGGATCCTAGAAGAGTTCTATCAAGGCGTTAGAGCTTTGGGTTCAAGGGTCCGTGTACCCATCCAGTATATACCTTAACCCACCTTTGTAGGGTCCCCATAGTCTATAAATCCCATATTATGGTTTATAATAGGCACCTACGAAAAAGTGGGTTTTGGTAGGTGAAGGTAGGTACTTCAGAGCCAAATCTACAAAATGGATACACGGACCCTTAGCGTTAACACATCCGGATCTGGCGTAACTGAAAACAGTATGACAGTAGGGTTTAGGCTTTAGGGTTTAGGGGGAGCTGAAACGTGCTCGAGCTCTGGCCCCTACAGGCTTTGGGCCGATGCTAAACTGAAACCAAAGACCTCTTCCATTGAAGTCGCTGGACACGGCACCCTGAAATCCTACAGCCCTACAATCCAGCCTTAAGCCCTAAACCTTATTCGGGTTCTATTCGCAGCGGGGCAATGGAAAGAGGAGCTCAAAACAAAAACGAAACTCCTACGCCCTGAAGCTCGCTAAACCCTGAACCCCAAATCCTAAACCCCAAACCTCTAGAGTACCCTTATGGTAGCCCTTATCGGTCCCTTAAAAAAAAGACCCCAGAACATTCCCTTGAATCCTCGAGCTTTTTCAGGCTTCCAAAGGACCGAAGCTTCGGGAGACGGCGAAGGCGGGTGCTTTTTGGTCTTGGGCCTTGGGGTTTAGGGATTTCCGGTTTAGGATTTAGGGTTTAGGATTTAGGGTTTAGGATTTAGGGTTTAGGCCTTGGGGTGCGTCTGGGTCTTGGAGCTATGATTTAGGGCTTGTACGGCTTTTCTAAGGCTTTAGGGTTTAGGGTATGACGGCTTAGGGCTTAGTTTATGGCTTTCAGTTTTTTTTGGGGGTTGTTGGGTCAGGGTGTGGGTTGATGCTTAGGGCTTACAGCGAACCCCAGAAAGTTGGAACATGCATTTAGGAGGATGAGAGCTAGGATCCCTTCTGCTTTGCCGTTAAGGGTACCAAGATTATGGTGTTCCAACTTTCTGGCTTCCACTTACAGCTTGGAATTGAAGTCGTTTGTCCGTGCGGAGTTTTCTGCACGCGACCCAGGCTGAGTACAGCTTCTGATGAGTCAGGTTCAGCAGGCCATCTTCAGCCCTTGGAAGCTGCAGAAGCATAATACATATTAACCTTATCGGCTTGCCTGGTATCTTTCGGCACAGCCTGCTCTGAGACTAGCATGAGGCCAGCTTCCCAAGCATAGAGGGTCTGAAGGGCCAGAAACTCACAGATTCTGCAAAGTATTGGACGTCACCCCTGAAGGCGGAAACCAACATATTCGACTTAGCCCTAACCCCCCAGGTACCTACCATATATAGGGTACTAGAGCCCCCTAGGGCCCTGTATAGTAGGTACCTGGAGGGTTAGGGTAGGGTTGTTCTAAGTTAGGGCGTCGCCGCTGGCAAACTTATGGAACAGGAGTCGACCCGCAATTCAACTTCTACAGCCCCCTGGTCACGAACATCCGCAAATCGCACCTCAAAGCCCGGAGGGATCTCAACCCCAGGGCAACCTAGCAGAAGCCATCAAGACCTCTTTAATCGCCACAGACCCGAATGCCCAAACCCTATACCCAGAGAGCCCAATACCCCTTAATTAAGGAATATACCTTAAATCATGATATTAAGGCCCCTATAATTTAAGGTATATTCCTTAATTAAGGAGTATTGGGCTCTCTGGGTAAACCCTAAAGCCCAAACCCCAAAAGCTGCTTAAACTTGATTCCTAAAACTGCTGACAGCTAATTCCTGGCTCCTGCAGACATCAGGCATCGTGGCGACTTCCAGAGCATTTCCGCCCTCCGGAAGCGCAGGCCACGCTGAAATGAAACTGTTATGCTACTGCTACTACTATTACTACTACTACTACTACTACTACTACTACTACCACTACAGCCAATATCACTAAGTACTAATTACTAACTATTAATCACTAACTATCAGCTATCACTGCTACTACTACTACTACTACTACCACCACGACGACGACTACTATTACTACGACGACTACTACTACCACGACGACGTCGACGACTACTACTGCTACTACCACCACCACCACCAGTACTACGACGACGACAACTACTTCTACTGCCACTGCCACTGCCACTGCCACTACTACTGCTGCTAGTACTACTACTACTATTGCTGCTATCACTGCTACCACTGCTACTGCTACTGCTACTGCTGCTACCACTGCTACTGCTACTGCTACTGCTACTGCTACTACTACTAACACTGAAACGAGAGCCAGGAGGCGGAGGCCAGCGCACAGGTATGCGCCGCTCCACACGCGACTTGCCGAAGCTCCAAATCAGGGGGCTCGGCCTGGTGATGCCTCGGGCTTGAAGGCTCAAAGTTTCTGCTCTTGTGAAATTTTAAAGCGGCGCCTCCCCTTCGAGCCCCGGGATGCTCGGAATTTTGGGCTTGGGATGTCCAGACTCTTCTTCGCCTCCGTCATGGGGTGTAGGAGTTAGATCTGGGTTCTAGGATTTCAGGCCGTGATCTCTGTAGGCTGCGGTCTGTACGTCTACATTGGCCCGAAGTCGCAAAACCACACTAATTCATAGCCAAATCCTGTACCGAAAGCTCGGTGGTACAGAAGATCCGTGCTTGCCTGCTTGCATCTGCGCCGCGAGTTGCTGCCCCAACATTCGAGCAGGCCAGATGGTCTTATGCCACAGCCTTGGTGTTTGTGTAACGTGGGCCTGAATAGTGACTGGGGCTTGGGGCAATTATTACTCATTAGTCTGGCTTGGGACTTGTGCCTTGGTGATTTTACAGCAAACTCCACGTCTCAAACATCAACCTCTCGCGGGCTTTTGCGCACGAACATCATCGAGACTTACCCCGAACCACATAAAACGTCTCCCTAAGCCTTCAAGCTCGCCCGACCCTGAGACATCGGCTCATCTATACTTTAGGGTTCAGAATTTTGAGGTAACCCCTAACCCCTAAACCCTACCCCCCTAAGGGTCCCTGTGATCAACTCGGGCTCGCAGCCTGAAGAATCGACATCCAACCGAAACCTTTCATGTAGGGGCCTATTTTATACCATAAGTGTAATAAGGAGCCCCAAAATACTATAGGTAATTATTCAGGCCTCTATACTAGACACCGTAAAGCGCCCCCAAAAATCCCTGTTGACGACCAAAAGCCTGTCAAGAAACCGCAAAGCTTCCGAAGCCCTGTACAGCTACTTGAACCTAAACTTGTCAAATTCTTTGGCATCTACAGGTTGTATGTCTTGACATAAGCATTTGTACGTTCCACCATCATGTTTGTTCGCATTCGGGTTTCCTTGTTTCAGTCTTTTCCTCACCCCTGATTCAATCGATTCCATCATCATTTCGTAACAGTTTCGCATCATTGTTCTTATCGTTTTGATGACAACATGAAGATCTCTCGAGGCTCTGCCCATTCTGGGGAAGCTCCAGGAATCCCGGGCGCCCTTTGCCCCTCGGCGCTTTCATGTCAAAACGACGACAAACAAATAAACAAGTGATGACAACGTACTAAACATCAAAATATTCTGAGGCTTTAGAAAATTCGAGAATTCCTGCGTGCCCTTTCCCCGGCATGGAGAACGAGAAAACAACGAAGATTTCCTCAGGCTCTTCTCATTCTCCGAAAATTCCAGGACTCCAGGATTTGTGCATGCCCTTTCCCCGGCCAGTTTCCGCCAACCGATGAACAACACTGAAACATGATGATTCTAGGAGTACCGCACGCCCGTTCCCCGCCTTTGCCGCCCAACGATGCGAAACAATGAACGCATGATCAACACATAACATAATGATGAAAACGATAATGCAACTGCTAACAACAATGATGATGAACTTGTAAATGATGATGACAGCGATGACCTAAACAATGAAGCCAGGATACAACAATCGAGAGTCTCTCCATGAGAAAATTTCATAACCCTAAACAGTTGGCGTGACGCCTAAAGCCCTAAACCAATTAACCGGGCTTCTGTGGCTCTTTCCCGCCGCCAAGCTCGCGAAGGAACCCTGGGCCAAACAAGACGGACTCGGGCCAGGGATTCAGGGACCTCAGGGTTTGCAGGGGTGTGGAGTGCTGCATGTCTCTGAAACACTACTTGTTCCCAAAGGCCAGGCATCAGCGCTGCCCACTAGTATGTAGATACATATCTTATTGCAGGATTGAGACGAACTTGCTTCTCTCCCTCTCTCTTTTGCTCTTTGGGTCGTGAGGGTCCCGCCCCCCTGCTCTCATACCCATCCCGCATGCCCGCGTCTCCTAGGTAAGTGGTCTTCCCTTTCACCACGCGCAGAAGCCCACCCGGCGCCAGCAGAAGGCAAGGGCATAGTCAAGAACTTAGTGCAGCCAGTACAGTAGTTTGTTGAGCCGTGCGAGGCGCATGCATGTAGTGGTTACCAGCGGGACTCCTTTTGAAGCTGTACGGCAGGAGAGAGTGAGAGCTTTGCAGCGAAGGCGACGTCATCCCACGATGTGTCGTTTTTGTCTACATCAGGTAGCCGCAGTACCCTGGGTGTAAACAAGAATTTTGAGGGTTGAAAGGCCGGTGGAGCGGTCGAAGAGTGGATAGCACGTTTAAGGACCTGGAAACGTGCTTCTGTGTGAATTTCCCTGTTGGTTGGAAGTGGCCTTGGCGCTTCTTTACTGTCCCTCAGTCAGTTTACGTAGACTTTCCCAGGGGCTCTGCTGAATTCTGAAATGTGCTCGACACGCAATCTTTTCTAGTCCGGTCAACAGCTTCACAGTGACACCTCAGCTCGACCTGCACAAAATGTACTCGTCTCAAGCCGCCGGACAGTGATCCCTCTCTCCCTCGCCCCCTCCCTCGCTCTCCACTCACTTGTCCTGGCCTTCGGCGGTGTCGACCTTCGCGCTGGAACATGGTGGTAGCACCCCTGCTTCTAGCTACTGCGGCGAATTCTGCTGCCATCACCACAAGTACGACTTCTGCTGCTGCTGCTGCTGCTGCTGCTGCTGCTGCTGCTGCGGCTGTCACGACAACCACGATACGTTCCTTCAGGTAACAATCACAATAACAGGTGACAAGCTAGTATTTTTGTCACACTTGCTACCTAGGATGCCCCTGAAGCAGGTCGTTGTTATGAAGGGTCATGCTGAGACAATAGCGTGCACCGGTAGCTTGTGTCGGAATGACCGCCAGAGATGCAGTCGGAACCCCGGGCAGCTCAGCCCACCACTAAACCCTTCCATGAGCACGAGGGGGTAACAATCACGCGAACCTAACTCATGAGCTTGGGTACCAACTGCCTCAGCGCATCTTGTTTTCAAGGATCAAGCACAAGCAGCAAAAGGCACTTCGAACGTTTAAGCACGGCGTTGTTGCTGAACGGGTGTCGCACTCCACACCACCGTCTGTAGTGAAGCGCTACATCACTGTGTGCTTCGCACTGTTGCCATCCAGGTGGCTGTCCTTGATCATTGGCTCCCCAACCTCGGAGTTTTCTGAACCCACTTGCTAGCCGAGGAGGATGAGAAGCATTTGGGTGTACATAGATTAAACTTGCTGACCCTATTCCGTGGTAGGTGTCAACATGTGTCAACATGGAGGCGAGGGAATAATGTCAACAAGTATTATGCTGGATATGTGCGCCGCAACCCGAGGGGCTGAATCTCTAATGGCCTACAGTTTGGCTCTATACTTTGAGACATTCCGAACACCGTCAGCCGACTCTGCCTCTTGTGTAACACCCAAAGAAATTTCGCATTATGAGAAGGAGCCGCGCAGCAGACGAAGAAGCAAGCACTAACCTTGCTTCGCGTAGGCCACTTCCCGAGACACACCTTGAACTCTGAGCCAACTCCCAGACTGACCAGCTTCTCAAACAAAGATTTTGTGGTGTGGTAACTTTGTGATTTAAAGAATCCCTCCCTCGACTTGAGTAGGCTAAGAAGGCTTTCATCCGCCCAGGAGCAGATGACCTCACCCGATGGCCGCAGGGCACAGCTATGCCACCCTCCCGAGGCTACCACGTCCTCTGCGAAGGCCAGCTCCTGGCAAAGAGGAGACCATGTTGACCCTGTGGGGTGCCACCCCTAAATCCCTAGGCACTCGAAACAAGGTTTTCTTTTTTGTCTAGCCCTAAGGAAGCACGTGTATCAACGGCAAGCGGCTTAGAAGCGACGAAAACCTCCTGCCTGCAGCTTCCGTTCTGCCTTCAGAGGGCTTTGAGAGAAAGCTGGGTGCGCAGAGTGGGATTACTTTTCCTTCAGGTTCAGGCTACAGAGTATACAGAATCGCTATTGTAGCCCATATGAGACACGAAGACGCATCGCATGCGACCTGCAAAGGCCGCATCAACGCTCAGGACCAGCACTCGGACCGCCACAAGCCCATTAGCCCCTGAAAACAATGCAGCCCGATACCACCGTTTCTGAAAATACAGTTCATGTACCAGTTCGGCTCCTTTTTGGCGAAGGCACTTTGTCCTGCATCGACGACGGTTACAGTGTGGCGACAGATCCTTCGTCCCACTACGCCAGCTAGAAAGCAAACGACTTACACAAAGTCTCAGACATACGAGAATTTTCTTTCCCGGCACTCCGTGGTTCTTGACGGCATCGTGCCTCCCGCCGCACACGAGAAGATGAACACAAGATTTCGCCATGGCATGCCGCACCGTGCCAAGAACGGCTTGGGTCCCTCTGCAACGGCTATGCGGCAGGCTTGTTTAAAATGGTGACTGCGATGCTCATAGGTTGCAGTACGGGCTGGTCGGTTCTGGCAAGAGTAGTTTCATGATGTGGTGCTACACTCCGGTACCGTGGGGTCCTTTTTAATTTGGAGCAGAGCACGCTCGGATTTCTTGACTGCGAGCCACGGCTGAAAAGCAAAGGCAGCAAGACAAGAGCGTCAGACGTATGATACTGGTCTGGACATTTTTGTGGTTGCGGCTGCTGTTGCTTGTTTGTTCGTGTTGGGTAACCATTTTTGGTTCACTGTATGATGAGGAGTGTTGTTTTCGGCACTTCACGTTTGTCAGTGCTGTGTGCAGGCTGCCCGCTCGAATCCCAAAGAACTCGAGCGTAATGCTTGGTTTGGGTTTAGTGCTTAGAGCTTGGCACACAGATGTTGGGCTTAAGCAAGAACTTCATGGCACGAATGGCCGCAAATGTGGAAAACTTGCCCTCTGCGCGCCCGAAAATCCGAAATTCAGCCAGAGCTCCAATTCAAAACCCAGAGCCCGCAAGCCCAAACACACGAAGTCTTAAATCCCACACACACCCTGGGCCTGGTGGAGTGCGTCAGCCTCCTTCTCGGGGCTGCCGGACTCTCGCCTCTAACTCTAGCTGGTGTAAACCGACTTTCCTGGTGGCGAAGAGTTCTATCTGCTTTCGGGTGGCCCCGAAAAAGTTTAAGCCCCAGAAGGAGAACGGATGGGCCCGGGCTTGAACCCTCCGCAGGGTAGGGGGGTTTACAGCATTACCATGGAGGGTGGCCGTGAGTGGCACACGTAACCACACACCCGAAGCAAGTTAACCCTGCCACCCGAAACCGGAGCAGCTGAGGCGGCGGCACGACGGCCAGGCGCTCCAGTCCAGCCTGCAGGATCTTAGGCAGTGTTGGGTTTGGGTTTGTTTTCAGAGGGATTTCAGGATTTAGGGTATCTGAGTTTGGGGTGTAAGGCTTTGGCCTTCGGGCTTATGTATTCCAGAAATGTATACAATGAGAAGCACAACATGCCGGTGGAATCAACGCGTTGGGGTGGCTGTGAGTTCAAGCCTGACGATGGCCGAATGTCCCCTAAGTCCTCATTGCGCCAGATCAAACTGAACTCTATGCCTCCGCCTGGCAAGTTCTCACCCCTTACACGGGGAATTGGCCCTTCCAAAGGCGTCAAGAAGTTGCGGTTCTTCTTTCAGGTGTTCGTTTCCGGGCCTTTGCTTCTTCTTCTTCTTCCGCGTGTCGGGTGGGTCAAGCACGGAAGTACAGGGGGATGCTCAGCATGATCGTGATCGCAGCAACTTCTCCTGCCATCGCTCGTGGCCCTGATCAGTCCTTTTTGATGCTTCTGGTTGTCAGTGTAACTTTCGCACACTTCGTATCATTCGCATCCGGCCGTCGTCATCGCCATAGTCCATTTTCGTCGCTGTCCTTCTCGATTGGCTTCTCGCCAGCTGCTACGCAGCATCCAAACCACAAGCTGAGAATCCTACACTGAACAATAACAGAGATCCCCAAACTTTCTGCAGCAGAAGCCACGAAGGCAGGGTTTGGACGGGTTGATCCGGCAACGGCACTAACCAACATTGCTGCGGTGTCGGCAAACTTTCAACTTCGCGCTTGGGGGCAATGCTGCCAGCCTAAACCCGCTGAAACATGCACGAAGTGCGTAGTTCGATTTTGCCAGGTGCCGAAACCAAGAAAACCCATATAGCAACCCTAATCATACACGTATAGTAACCCAAAGAATACTTTTTCTTACAGGATTCCTACAAGAATCCTGGCAACGAAGGCTCTCCACTATCGGCCTCCAGGGCTCCTTCGAGATTGCCCTCTGCTGCTCTCAGCTTCGCCAGCAGCCTAGGCTTCCCAAACTTTCTCGAAACATAAAAAGCTACGAATATGTCCTCAATATGAGCTTTTTTGCAGAGTTGAAATGACAGCGCCTATCTAGGGGTGCCTTACGATCTCACGTTCGGAAAGGTCGGAATGTGGCAGGTTTTTAAAGCACAGGATTTCGGCAATGCCCCACGCGAGGAAAAATAACATCTGAACCCGAAGCGGGAGTCATTAAAGCTCGGGCAAGCCAAGATGTATACATGTGATGCAATGCAATGCAGTGCTGCAATGGACGCAAGCGCAGTCCGATACAATGTAGTGTAATCTGGTTTATAGTAAAAACTGATGTAACAAAGTAGTTCAATGCACGGCCTGCATGCATGCATGGATGTCTGTGTGTCTGCATGCATGTCTGCATGTATGTATGTAATCCGAGCACTTGATTATTAAAGGCCCCCATATTTAAAGAAATTTTTCCGGCAGATTTAGGGCGATCTGTATGTGTTTCCATTACG